TATTATTCAATAGATTTGAATGTGCACATTGTCGACGTTCCTAATAGGACCCAACACTTTAGGCTTGATACTCAAGCCCGGATAATAAAGCCAATGTATGAGGTCGAAGAAGAGGATGATGAGCTCCTGCAAGACGTTGATGATATTTCAGAGGAGGAGATCCACGGGCTTGATTCTCCAGTCCCTCCTCCCACCCCCGAGTTGGAGCATCCATCTCTGAGGCCGCTACACTATGTTGCGAAGTGGGTAGGATCCAGTTCGACTTGCTCCACAGATGAGCTTATATTTCTGGAGGTTGACGATAGAGCTCGGGTGTAAAAAGCTCTACGTATAGGATTGGGGATTGCTCAGGCCCGAAACCGTTTCATCCAGAACATCGCCACCTGGATCCACCATGCCCGCCTTCTGGCCACACTGCTCGGGCTACCACTTCTCGAAAATACGACGGCGTGGCACGACCGTCACTTCTTCTTAGATCCCGGTTGAGTTCTCTACAGGTTTCGTCAAGCTAATGACGTTAAACAAGCGCTTTCTGTGAGGCAACCCAAGCGATTTACTGCTTTCTATATATTTTTTTCTTTATGCTTTTTATTTTATCTTTGAATAATGGGAGTTTTGGAGTTCTGTGTTTTTCTTGGCAGGAACGAGATTCTGAGCTCGAGCAGGAGGAGTATCGAGGTTTTGGGCTGAGCATAGGCGAGCGGCTTGCACGTGGATGCTTATTCTCCTCGAGGCATTTTGGTTTGCACACCCTTATCCTTTTTATATTTTTTGAGTTGTTCCTTCTCCTGTCTTCTCTTTGGATTTTGTGTTCTTGTGGTAGTAGCTGGTGTTGGTTCATTATGTGAAATTGCTAGGTCCTATTATTTGTCTTGTTTTGTGTTGAAGCAATGAGGACATTGCCTCATTCTAAGTGTGGGGGAGTCTATTTCGATTGTGCATGCTTATGTGGTGGATCGGTCTAGCTTTAGGTTTTTGTTTTGTTGAGTATGTGGTATTGGTGAATTATATGAATTGTTGATGAATGTTTGATGAAATTGGGAAGTTGTGATGATGGACGTGTGGTCATTGCCTCGGTATTTGCTTGATTGCTTTGCGTGACATCTTTTTGCCTTGTGAGATTTTGATCCTTGTTCTTCTTTCTTGTGAGATATTGGTCATATTCTTGAATTATTAGAACTTGCCTTGAGTTTGTTTGAAAGGAATCAATTAGAGTTTGAAATTGCGAATATGATTTAGGCGTTTTGTTTGATTAGCTCACTTCTGCCTTGTTCTTTGGTCCTAAATTTATTCCACTAGTAGCCCGTTTGAGCTTAAAACCTTTTCTTGTCAACTTGTTGACTGATTTGTGTGATGATTGGGGGATTGGTGGCATTTCTGAATTTGATGGACATTGAGTTGCATTTTATTTGCTTTACCAATAAAAAAAATATGAGAGCTCACAGAACGAATCGAATGGATTCTGCTCCTCTTACTAGTCGATTCATGTTGACGGGTAATGAGCATTGATAAACTACTGTAGGACACTTGGATGATCTTCAATGTCCTCACCTACAGAATGTTGTCCTTTTGATTCGATCTTGTTCGTAAAAAGTTACTCTCCGAATAAAAAATAAAGATAAAAAAGATGTATATAAAAAAAATGGGTCAAGTGATGTTGCAAATCGGTTAGAGCTGTTAGGTGTTGTTTGTGGAGTTGTTTGGTGGATGATGAATGTGCTATATTGTTTATTCCGGATTGGTAGCGGAGAACTCGAGTAATCTATTTGCTCGAAAATTGTGTTGTTTATTTGATCTTCTTTTCTGGCATATATATATATATCCTTACCTTAAGCCCGCATTCTAACCCGTGAAGTTCTCTTGATTCATAGGTTTTTTAGCTTTGATTGTTTTTGAGTAATTTAAACGATTGACAAGCATATGTTGAAACTCGAATATTGACCAATTTTGAGCGTACCTATGACATATTTATGCAAGAAAATGAGTGAGACATATATGATAATCTAGGTTTTTAGAGTTTGTCATTTCAAGGCCAAGTCGATATTTGAGGCATATGGTCATACGGTTGTTGGAATTCGACCCAGTTTGTTCTCTTCCCATGAGCTTAATGATGTATATATAGAGCTACAGTATGGACCCTTAGAAGATTAGGAATATGGCTCCTTAATTAATTAAACTAACTGTGGGCCAAAGCCACTACTCTAATTAATTAAATGATATTATGAGCCACCAACATAATATTATTGCACTCCCTTTTCCTAGCCCAATTTACAACTGAAACTCCAATTATAATTACCCGAATTACCTCCCCATGTTTAAGATAAAATATCCATTAATCAATTCGATTACTGATAATCAAGAATTAATTAATTTATTATTATTTCACCGAAGCTAGCGCTCGTTCATCACATTATTACTATGTCGGAATTTAATCCACCTGCAGGGTTGAGCATAATGATCCTTCATGAACTCACTTCGGGGACATCATCAAACTAAACATACATGGTGACCGTAAATATCCTAACAACACATCATACATGCAACAATATTACCCAAGACAGTAGAAATATTAATTCAGCGAACTGAACCTCACCCAAGTGAATCAAAATAATATTTACGGTACATACATGTCTATTTAATATATTACGGGTTAAGAGAACACAATAATTAAACGAGGTATAGTTCGTGTACGACGATCAGTGTAAAACGAACTTCTCCTCTCTAGTATCCTGTTTAATACATAAATGTACTAGTGCAACTAATCAGTCAAGACCAACCGTAGTTGACACTACAACCGTTCGGGATGGGGCGTTCATTTCCATCTAGGTTGTGAACCATAATTCTTGTTCCACAAGTAACTGATAGAATGATCTTCGGTTCGCCCGATGAAGACCCATTCTATCTAAGTGCAAAACAACAGAACTTATTTAATCTAACATGATTCTCATTCATAAAGGGTAGTATCATCCAAAGCCAAGCTTTCAGTATATAGCACTAACAGCTGGTAGGTCTTCGATTGTTGGTGGTAATCCCCTCCCTCTATTCTGATTCCAATTCTGGATCTAGAGACCTCCCCTCGGCCTTTCTTCGGTGGGGGGAGCTTAGGGCGCAGGTTGCCGATGGTCTGTGGTGGCGTTGGAGGTGTTTGGGTTCTCGGGTGGGGCAGGGCTCTGGCGGCTGTGTTGTTGGAGTTCAGGACCGTCCCGCGCTCACCCCTTGCTTCTCTGGTGTTGGGAACGGGCGGGGTCTGGAGCACCCGAGCCTGACTAGTAGTGTTAGTTGGGTTCGGGTTTTGAAGGTGTGGGGTTCTAGTGTCGTCGTTCTCTCGGTTGGAGGTGGGTTTTTTTGGAGTTTGGTTCGGGGCTCGGGTTCGGCTGCTGTATAGGCGGGTTCACAATTTCGGTATCGGTGCCTGGGCGTTGGGATCTTCTGGATCCATTGTTTCTCTGCTGGTTAGGCCCGTTAGTTTGCCGGGGAAGAGCTTTGAATGTTGTTATTTTGTTTTCTTTTGTTTTCTTTCATTTTGTGTCGTTTGTGTTGTTTAGGACTTGTGTTTTTGGTTTGGGCCGTTGGCCTCTGTTCGCCCGAGTATGAATATATTATCTTGCTGGGGTCATACACTCGACATTATCTTGTTGGGATCGCTTTCGTAGTTTTTTTGTTGTGTTTGGGAGTTGCAAGTTTGTATTCTAGCGTTGCTAGCTTAGGCTCTAGGCAATCCTCAGATTTGTCCTCTCGGTCTTATTCAACCTTTGGTTGTACTCTTCAGCTTTTGGCTGCTTTTTATTCGCACTTTGTGCGGGTTTTCGTTATATAATTTCTCTATCGTTCTGAAGAAAAAATAAACAATTCTAATCTATAACATAATAATTTATACGAATATAATGCTACAGGAGCGGACATAGTAAGTAAAATCATACAAAAATGCTTTATGCTTACTCGCTCGCTTTTTTCTTAGTCTGTCTCCGATGAAACTTTAGTTAGTAGCCTCGTTTCAGGGTTGCAGACAACCGGAAGGAAATTCCCAAAGCAAGTCGTCTTAAGACAATTCGCTTCAAGGCTTATTGAGAAGGTTGAAATAGGAATAAACGTAAAACGAGCAATATCTGCTACTTGCAGGACAAGAATTCGACTCTGCTGACCCATAATTCTAAGCTCCGCGAGACGCAAAACGAGCAAAAATCCGAGTTCGAGGTGAAAATCAAGTCTCTCGATGAGGAGCTCTCGAACAAAAATAAGGCTCTCGCGGAGAGAGAAGCCGCCCTCGCGGTGAAGGAGGTGGCTATGGCGGAAAAGGAGACCGCCTTGAAGGAGATGGCGGCTACCCTCGAGCAGGAGAAGCTGCTCAAGCCCAAGCCGAAGCTGCTCGGGCCCAGTTAGAGAGTGTTCGAGCGGAGGCGGAGGCTGCCCGAGTCGCGATGGAAGCCACATTGGCGAAGGAACGGGCTGCCCAATCTCAGCAATGCAAACGCTACGCTGATGCCGCTGCTCTTCGAGCCCGACAGATGATGTAGGGCACCACCACTGGGCAGCTCTTCCTCCGAGAGTACCGAGATCAAGTGGTGGCCGATTACACACGGTCACCACATTTTTTGAAGGAGGTGCAAGATTTTGGGGTGGATTGCTTTCAATTCGCCCTTCAGAAGGCTGGCGAGCAGATCGCCGAGGACGACTTCGAGCAGCTCGACCGTGGGGCTATTTGGGAGGCCTTACCCAAGGTCCCTACTAGCTTCCAAGGTGATCCCAGCTTACCGCTCGAGCATGAGTGGTGGTCAGGGCTGCTCGAAAGGACTCTGGCTCGATCGGACACTTTAAAGAAGACTTATGCTCTGCCCGACGGCCTTACTCCACCTGCCTCAATGCTTGTCGTGCTGGCCGAGTCCATACGCCAACGTCCTCTTAATGAAGCTTGTGACTCGACCTCCGGAACTAGCCATCCGCCTGATCCCAGCGCTAATCAGAGCAACGCTGACTCGACCGCCGCTCCTCCTCCTTAGATGCAGTTTATGTTTTCCCTTTTGTCTGTTTTGAATCTCTATTATGTATTCCATTGAACTATGTATTATTCGTGAAATGGTAGTACTTTGTTTTTGACTTGTCTTGATCTTCAATAATGCTTATTGGTAATCCTGATTTGATATCTTCGTTATAACACCTCGTGACCACTTAGATAGTTTAATCTTATCGTACACATATATGCACCTACCCACCCCTGGGGGCGGTCGAAGCATGCGACCGTCCGACCTCATGGCCTTGAACATGACGGGTTTTAAGCTTTTAAACACATGCCCACCCCTGGAGGTGGTCGAGGCATGCGACCGTCCAGCTTAATAGCCTTAAACATGACAGGTTTTAAGCTTTTAAACACATGCCCACCCCTGGAGGTGGTCGAAGCATGCGACCGTCCAGCTTAATAGCCTTAAACATGACGGGTTTTAAGCTTTTTAAACACATGCCCACCCCTGGAGGTGGTCGAAGCATGCGACCGTCAAGATTAATAGCCTTAAACATGACGGGTTTTAAATTTTTAAACACATGCCCACCCCTGGAGGTGGTCGAAGCATGCGACCGTCCAGCCTCATGGCC